AGGCCTCTCATCTTTTTAAGTGGGAGAACTTGCACAATTGGTGACTGACTAAATACTTATTTTCCCCACTGTATATATATATATATATATGATGTTCCACTTATTGTCAGTGTGTCTTCTTTTTCAGGCACAGCCCCTTTCGGCAGCACAAGACCAAAGACAAACATGAGATCGACCGCATGACGCTGACCATGGTAAAACATTTTGCTTTATTTCTGTGTAAATAACCATAAAGCTGAAGGCAGCGCTGAACACTTGGCTTCGGATTGTTGTTAACGTGTAGTATTTCCTAACAACACACACCTATTTATGTTTCTGTCTGTGTGAACAATCAGCTGCATGGATCTGTGAGACGTACCTGTAGGAACTGTAATCAGGTTGTCCTGCAGAGATGAATTACTTTGTTGTTTGAGAATTTGGGTCATTTTTGTGTCTCCACTGACTGTTCACTTCACTTTGTCACGGTGAGATGAAGGAGCTGACAGAAACCTGGCTCAGAGATCCTGAGCCAGCAGCCAGCTGGAGCTGGGCTCTGGGAAAAGGCAGCAGCACGTTAGTGAAGTTGGAACAGGAGCTGTCAGGGTTGACCAGTTTGGGGAAGTCTCTGATTGGACTGATTATAAAGTGTTGCTCAAAGCCCATGTCTCTCATTTTGTCAAACTTTAAAATCAAATTAAGTGTAAACATCAGCATACAGAGGAGTCATTTTTTTCTTTTCTGCCCAATTATTGTTATATTTGACAAGCAGGTTTGTTTTTGTTCCCATCTGCAGCCTGGGTCAGGTTCATTTAGGTTTGCAGCTGATTTATATTTTTACTGTTAAAATCACAAACTGTGCTTCTAAACCTTTTCATGCAAACCCTCTCCCTCTGATGTTCATATTCTCTCTCTGTCTTTTTGGGCTGTGCTTTTTCAAAATAAAAGACACATCAAACAGCTGCCCTTAGGAAATACAATAATAAAAACAAACTGTTTTGTCGGTCTGTGGTTATTCAAAAATAGATACAGATAAAACTAAATGTGCTGTGACTTCTTGGAGAACCAAAACAAAGTTTATTTTCAATGTGTTTCTGTAAAAAAACAAAAGTTTAATCTGTGCAGAATGAGAAAAGTACAAATATTTGCCAGATATATTAATAAACCTTATTTAATGAGAGCTTATGTCATTTTATCATAGTGAAAATGGTATGTTTTATTTTCACCAAGGCAGTTCTTCAGTCATTTTCCTGCTTGTGATCATGTTTTTTTTTTTACTTGAGTGGCTTCAGGTTTTTATCATTTGAGAGAAAATCTTCAAAATGTCTAAAATTTTGTGGAGCTTCTCAATGTCCTTGTTTGTGTCACAAAGTCTCACAGTCCTCCACAGTTACTTGAATTTTGAACATGTTCAAATAAATAAATGTGTGTGTGTGTGTGTGTGTGTGTGTGTGTGTGTGTGTG